TTGTGATTTCAAACTTCCAAGATTGTATGTGTTTCAAGAATGCTTTTGTTGAAAAGAATAGTTCAAATGCCCCACTTGGGCCTACAGAATTATTTGTATTAGCATTTTAATGATCCTGAACTTCAAGAAATACTAGAACATTTGTTGGACAAGATGCAAATTCCAACACGTAGTTGCCAGCTACATTTGTTCAGCACATTTAGAGATCATTTGTGTCCCATTTCTAAAGGTCTACTTATTCTGTATTTTAAAAGGACTGTCAGCATGGTTTTATCCCCAGAGTTGCTCCTTTTCAGCTCTCTGTGTAGGCTTGGCCACATGACAGAACTTGTTTCAGTGCAGTTATAAAAGGTGAAAGTTTATATGAGACCAATGCAGTAGTCAGCTTGTTTAGAAATGTGAGAGCTTGCAGGAGGCTGAAGCATTACTATTTGTTTTTGCGACGACATTCTAATACTGATACTAAAAATGTAAATGAATACTATTTATACATGAATACTGGCTCATCTTCACCCTTCTGGTTGTAACCCCTTGCTATGTCTTTTATTTTAGCTCCACCTCAGGTTTGATTGAAAATCGCCCTCAGTCACCTGCTACGGGCAGAACACCAGTGTTTGTGAGTCCTACACCACCACCACCGCCTCCACCCCTTCCATCTGCTTTGTCTACTTCTTCATTAAGATCTGCAATGACTTCCACTCCTCCCCCTCCAGTGCCACCGCCTCCACCACCTCCAACAGCTGCTTTGCAAGCTCCAGCTGTACCGCCACCTCCAGCTCCTCTCCAGATTGCTCCTGGAGTTCTTCACCCTGCTCCTCCTCCAATTGCACCTCCTTTAGCACAACCCTCTCCTCCAGTCACTAGAGCTGCCCAAGTGTGTGAAACCATTCTAGTTCCACAAGGTGAAATGCAAGGACTTCCACCACCTCCACCACCACCTCCACTGCCACCTCCTGGTATACGACCCTCATCACCAGTCACAGCTCTCTCTCACCCTCCCACAACCATTGTCCCTGGCCCTCATGTTCCAATAATGCCTCCATCCCCACCGTCCCAAGTCACCCCTGCTTCTGAACCTAAACGGCACCCATCAACACTACCGGTCATCAGTGATGCCAGAAGTGTCCTCCTGGAAGCAATACGAAAAGGTATCAGTTACTTGTGCATTGATTAGCAGTATTATTCATTTAATGCAGGTATTCTTTTGACAGGTTTAATATCTTTAATTATTTCTGGCAAGGGTATTTACGACGCTTCTTTGAGTTCTATTCTGTAAAACAAGCAGAATGCCAAATAGATTGTTTTCCAGCTTAGCTTCTTGTCCACTGGTAGAGCTCAGAATTTAAATAACTCTATGAAAATGTTAGCTAGAAAAGTTTACACACGACAAAACAATTTGGCGTGTGGTTCTGTGTCAGCGAGATTTTAAAAGTACTCCTTATATATATTCCTAAACATCTCATTTAAATTGAGCCTAAGTGACTAAGAAACTCAGTCCCACCACTGAAACTCATGATGAACCTGTCATACATGAGGTAGTTACCTTCAGGCTTTCCTCATACTAACCTGCAAATTGTCTAACTAATCAGTGAGTTGAAGATAGTGTTTGACCACCTTTTGAACATGGGTTGTGGAAGCTAATATGACTTTTGTTATGTCAATCTTTTGACATTACCTATTAGAAATAATTGACCTTTAAAGCCCTGTACTACCTGAGACTAATATAACTTAAGGACTGCCTCTTTTCATATAAACCTTCCTGTACACTGTGGTCATCTTCGGAGGTCCTGCTTCGGTTTGCCTCACCATCTAAAGCTAGACAGTGCCTTCTCAGTCATGGCACCAAAATTTTGGAGCTCCCTCCCCTCAGAGATTTATCTGTCTCCTTCTACCTATGTCTTTCGCTAGCAGGTGAAGACTTTCATCTGTCATACCCCCAGTAACAATTACTGGCCCCTTCTAGTGTTTTTTGTGTGTTTTTAAATTAGTTATTTTATAATTATTGTTTAAATGTTTTAATGTTTCTTACATTCGCCGCCTTGTGGACCCTGATCGGGTAACAGGCAGCATAAAACATTTAAAATAAATATATTAACAGTAAAGAGGGGTTGGTAGCCAATGCATTAATTCCCCCCCCCCATATGATACACTGTTATATTGTTGAACTTAGGATTCTAAAAAAAGGTAATGAAAAGGCCAGAAGGATGGTTGTAGTATTTATTCCAGAAAAATATTACCTAATGCATACTGGAGTTCTTATCTTTCAAATAAAAAAAACCTTCAGTTAAAATAAAGGCCTTTGAATACTTCTTTTAGTAAGCAGAAGTATCAGTGGCTATTTACTGACTTCTACTTATGTTGAAAGGTATCACACTTTAAAGAAACTATTTTTATGAGGAAAAACTAAATAATCCAATGTACTTGTCTATTGCTGCAGTTCTTCTTCATTTAACAAAATCAGGCTATATGCATCTACTGGAAAAGACTTAAAATTAGTAATGGATGAAATCCCCTTGTCTCAAATCACCAATGGTTTGCCAGTTGCAAACAGCAGCTGCAGATACTTGGGGTGGGGGGAGGGAGCTTGCTTTGTATCAACAGTCCTGAGGCTGCTACTGCCTTTGCAATCAATAAATTTAAGTGCATGTACCCACATTCTTTCTCTTTGTGTTTGAATTAATTTCTTTTAAAAACTTTTGTATAATCACATTATCATTCCAGCATGGTAGCAATGCATGGATGGATGTTTATACAAGTACTGCATCCATTTTGGCAGGAAAAGATTTTTTTAATATAATTTATTTTTTGTGTTGTTTTCCCCATCCAAAGAAAACACAGTTTAAAAGTAACATTCTTATTTACTTAACTTATGAGAAAACCATTATCTGGGGCAAAGTTAAATATTATGAGCTGGGTAAATAAATGTATTGAACCCATCATTTTCAGACTTCAACTAAAAAAACATTTTCTATAGGTTGGATCTTAAAATGATTCTGCTTCTAGGGTAGCTCTTCCTTTTGACCCTCTTCTTGCTGCAGTTCACTGGGCTCCCCAAAATGCTGCTTGTGTGGGTTTGGGTGGAAGGATTCACTAAGGAACAGCATGGGATGCTGTGAGGGTGTTTGGAAAAACTGATCACTAGATCAAGGTGAATTTGGATTCAGCCTTGTGATACGGTCCCCTTCCTTATATGCGTATGCCACATATAAAACTAATTTATAGTGGACAGTTGCTTATACCAAGTGAACTATAATAGTAGTAATTGTGGTTTTTGGAGCAAAGAGCCAAATTATATGTAACATCATGCTCAGATCCAACACCATTTTAAAGCCAATTTTAAAATGCTGCCAAGGTCTGAGTCTGATTAGCCTTACAGTACAATGGAATGAGGTGTTCTTTTCCCCACCACCACTGCACATACCTTTTCAAGTGCGCAGCTGCACGGGGCAGGGGAGACAAGAATACCTCATCCCACCATTCAGCAGGGCCTCATGACATTTTAAAATAATCCCATTAGGATTTAAAATGGCAGCAGTATCCATGGGTCGCATCCAGGGATGCTGTCATGTCTAGGTTGACCCTAAAGTATTCTCTAATACTGATCTAAAATAAACCAAGTGAATTTATGCTGGCACGTGTGATACATAAGGCATGCACACTGCTAATATTTTTCCTTATGCTTTAGGTATTCAGTTACGAAAAGTTGAAGAGCAGCGTGAACAAGAAGCTAAACACGAGCGTGTTGAGAATGATGTTGCCACCATATTGTCACGCCGTATCGCTGTGGAATATAGCGATTCTGAAGATGACTCAGAGTTTGATGAAGTTGATTGGTTGGAGTAGACAGGATATATACTACAAAACTGAATGCTGATGTCCATTGTGGTGCTTGTTCTTTGAAAATGTTTGGTCATTTCTAGTGTTTTTGTATTTTCTTTATATAATCCATGTTTTTCTACTTTTCAGTTCACAGAATCTTAGCACATCTTTGAAACTAAATGTTTTACAGTGATACAGCTCTTTGAAAGAGCATAATTTGTTCCAGTAGACCACTAAGTATTACGCATGGGCAGCTGTTGGTAGAATAGCAGATTAAAATTTTTGGCATATCTTTAACTGTGCACTTTGTGAATTTTAAGTTATGAAGGCAATTAAGACTGAAGTTTCAAGGCAGCTGTATGTACTAATGAGCCTTACTACACTGTTAATGATTAAAAAACAGGGAAAAGAGGGTATGATCCATCAAGCTCTGCAATTTCTGTGGAACCCAAGCAGGAGAAAAACTTGGTGGATTGCACCCCAGCTATCATGTTTTCACTATCTGGGTAAAATCTGTACCTTGTAAGGTACATATAGTTCTAGCAGTACTTGACCCACTGAAAGAAAAAAGAAATGAGGGTTTTTGGGGAGTTTTATTGTTGTTTTTATTAAATAATTATGGCCTTATTTGATTGTTTTGCGATTTTTCTCCCTTCTTCCCTGGTACCTATTGTGTGATACTATTTTGCCTGCTTAAGAGTTTGATTTCCATTTACCCACTCTGTGTAACTTATGTAACTGTTAGAAATAACAGTTTGATTTAAATAAACAATTTGTTTTAAGTCTTCCTAGCTGTTAATTTTTTTCAACCACACAGTTACCTTAAACTCAAAGCATTAAGATCTCCTTGCATCTTGTCTCCATAATGAGGTTGGGGGCCCAGCATAGGGGGAAGCTGATCTCTCTGTAACAGTCCGTTTGCAGTTCTTTCTGTTCTTTCACTTTCCTCTTATACCGGATGCATTGGTGCAAATTCTCTAAGCTTAGCTTATTTCAGCAGCACATTTGGCAACCAAGCTTTCCTTGTCACTCATATTTATGCCTGTCAGCTTTGGGGTGGGGGTGGGGGTGGGGTATTCGTTTGCCTGTGTAACCGGTACGCTGCATTCCTTCTTGGCTTCTGTAATGCTTGCTTATCTATAGCCTTGCAGGTGCTGTGTAGTGTCTGGAAATCAGGGGAACCGTGGGAGCGCTTTCGGTTCTCAGCTTTGGCTCTAACGGCCTGGGGCTCCTTCTCCCGTGCGCGGGAATGTGGCTAATTGGCCTAAGGGAGGGGGGGTGCATACGAATACCCTATGTCCCATTATACTTGTAGGGGCGACGCCATTCCTAACAGTGACTTTGTTAATGCATCTATAGGTAAAGGTAAAGGTTCCCTTGCTCGAAAGCCAGTCGAATCTGACTCTCAGGTTGCGGTGCTCATCTCCGTTTCAAAGCCGAAGAGCCAGAGCTGTCTGAAGACGTTTCCGTAGTCATGTGGCCGGCATGACTAAACACCAAGGCGCACGGAACGCTGTTACCTTCCCACCAAAGTGGTACCTATTTATCTACTTGCAATTTCTTGCTTTCGAACTGCTAGGTTGGCAGGAGCTGGAACTAGAGCCGGAACCCGGGTCTTGAACTGCTGAACTACTGACCTTCCACAGCCTGCAGTTCAGTGTCTTAACCACTTGAGCCACCGCAGTGCCTAGCTCTGCATCTATACTTTATTTATACTGTATTGCATCTATAGCTCTGCAATAAAGTATAACCTTTCTGACAAGCATGTACTCGGTTATTGGCTGTGGAACCTGACATTCTGTTAGGAATCCTTCATTCTCTATCTACGCGCCTCTCTCTCTCTACCCGAGATGAGCGACGAAGAGGAGAAACAGGTCCCCTCTGAGGAGGAGATTCCGGTCCCCACCACATCTGGGGGGGAGACTCCCATGACCCAGGGGACGGCACCTGTGACCACTACACCTCCGGTGACAGCCACTGGGAAGGGAGCAGTCCCAAAGACATCGACCCATTTGTTCCTGACCCCTTCAGGCCCATGGCAGCTGCCCGGCCAGGGATACCAACCGAGCTCCAGGTGGAGCCAATTCAACCCGGACTCCACGGCAGAGACGTATATGCTTACGCAGGTCCCCCAGAGAGACAGCAGGTTTGACCTGGGGTTTGCCTCGGCTGGAGGTTTCCCCCCCTACGGGGTCCCCTTATAGCCACCGCCAGGAGCATGGGTGACGGAGAGGTCGGCGAGGAATGGGCACGCGTCCCCGATTGAGAGACTGGAACTGACCCATAGAATGGAGGTGGCAGATCGGGAGAGGCGGCAGCTGCAACAGGAGTTGGAGGAAGTCATCCAAGCAATCCCACAGTTCGTGGTCCAAGCCATCCGAGTGGAGAGGGAAGCCCAACCAGCGGCACCGGTACTCCCTGCTGCCCCACTGGCACCTCCGCTGCCGCCCAGACCAGAGGATGTACCCGTGCCGGGACCAGGGGAGGCCCCGGCTCCAGTGCCACGACCAGGCAGCCCGAGAGGCCCTGTGCTACATCGCCTGAAAGACCGGATCGAGGCCACGTTCGACGGAAACCCTGAGGAACTATCCTACTTTGTGGTTCAAGTGATGAAGTTTGTGGAAAGGCCGGGCCACCTGTTCCCGGATGACAGCAGCCGATTGGATGTGGATAGTTGCCCGCTTACGGGGCTCCGCCACGGCTTAGTATGTGGGATTGCACAACGCCAGGGGCCCGGAGCTGGTGAATTTGGACACTTTTATGTGGGCGTTGCATGCCCAATTTGAGGACCGGAACACCAGGCCCAAAGCAAGAGCGTTTCTACGCACCCTGAAGCAAGGGAGGAGATCAGTGAGAGAATACTCCTCCGAGTTTAAGTTGCATGTGGCAAAAGTCCAAACTTGGCCAGATCCGGTGCTAAGGTAGGACTGAACCCACAGATCAAGGAAACGGTCCTACGGGCAATGGACTCAATCTCTTTACCGGCATGAATGCAGGAGACGGAGAGTGCAGAGACCCGCCTGAATACCCTGCACCTGGACATCGCAGCAGCGGGAAGCAAGCCTAACCCCCGGCGCAGAAGATGAAACCGGCGAAGTTGGCTGAGTCTACTCGAGAGCAACGTATGCAACGAGGGCTATGCCTAAAGTGTGGGGAGTGGGGCCATTTCGCAGCCGACTGTGGTGGAGCGATCCAGTGAAGCAGGGGCCGAGCGATCCCGCAAAAGTATGCCTCGCCACCCCGGCAAAGAAGTCGACAGGAAAGGTCCTGCTGTGAGAGGCACAGAACAGCAGGGCCCGATCCCGGAGGCGCCAAAAGTGGTGAGCAGCTCCCCCCCCCTTGTTTTTCGTGACTGTGATTCTGATTAACCCAGCCCTTGGGACGCATATCCGTGTAAGAGCACTCATTGACTCGAGGTGTGGGAGGGATCTCATCAACCCTTCCTTAGTCATGGGGCTGGACGCTGGGGTGGTGAAGCTTGATGACCCGTTGATTTTTACCCAAATGGACGGTTCCACAATGAAAGAACCATATGAATACGAGACTGTACCTTTGCGGGTTGGGGCGGGGATCACTGGGAAGAGCGGCTGTTAAAAAGCGGTTGTTCATGATCACCCCGGCCGCCAGGTTCCCGTTGGTGTTGGGGGGCACTTGGCTGCATGGACATGATCCATACATTCTGTGGGATGAAGCGAAGGTGCACTTCATCTCACCTCGGTGTCAAGGGCACCGATGGAACCCGCAGTGGGGCCAGCAGCCAATAGTGGAAACCCCTAGAGTGTGTTTAGCTCAAGAGGAGCTGCAAACCATTCCCCCGGAGTACTGGGACTTGGCCAGGGTGTTCGAAGAGGAAGAAGCCGATGAGCTTCCACCCCATAGACACTCGAATTGCAGCACTGAAATATTACCCGGCCAAAAACTACCCAATTTATGCGATGGGTCTGGCCGAGAAGGACGAACTGCGCAAATTTAATGATAAAAACCTGGCCAGAGGTCTCATCTGGCCAGCCTCCTCCCCTTTTGCGGCCCCGGTGCTCTTCCGGAAGAGAAAGGATGGGGGGTTGAGGTTGTGCACGGACTATTGGAGATTGAACACAGTGTCTTCGACCAATGCTTATCCCATGCTGTTGATCAAAGTGTTACTGGCCGAAGCGGCAAAAGGGAAAATTTTCTCGAAGTTGGATCTTCGCGACGCTTACTTTCGGGTTCGCATCAGGGAGGGGGACGAACACAAGACTGCCTTTAACATGCCCCTGGGTCAGTTTGAGTATTGTGTGATGCTGTTCGGTCTTCAGGGGGCGCCAGGGGTCTTCATGAATCTGATCAATGAGGTGTTGCACAAGCACTTGTTCAAGGGGGCGCTTGTTTACCTAGATGATATCTTGCTGTACTCCCCCGACCTACCTTCCCATGTGAAATTGGTGAGGGACGTTCTGAGAACGTTGTACAAGCACAAACTGTTTGCGAAACTCTCTAAGTGCAAGTTTCACAAGACCCACATTGACTTTTTAGGATCTTGGACAAGGGCTTGAAGGACCTGGGGAAAGTACGAGATGTGCTAGGCTGGGGAGACCCCTCTCACCCGGCGCCAGTTACAATCCTTCCTCGGTTTCGTGAACTTTTACAGAAATTTCCTGCCCAATTTTGCCCAGGTCAGCCTGCCCCTGATGGACTTGTTATAAACGAAAGGGAAGGGGCTGGAGGCAGCCAAGCCGGGGGCACCGTTGGCTTGGAGTGGGGAATGCCAGGACGCATTCAAACGCCTCAAGGTGTTGTTCACATTGGAGCCGGTCCTAGCACACCCAGATGAAATGAAAAAATTCATTGTACAAACTGATGCCGCAGGTGTGGCCATGGGGGGGTGATTCTCCAAGAAGGAGGGGATGGGCTCCTGCACCCCTTGACGTATGTGTCTAGGAAGTTCAATGACACAGAACACAATTGGTCGGTGTGGGAGAAAGAGGCGGGGGCAATAAAACTCGCCTTGGCCACCTGGAGACACTGGCTGGAGGGAGTGCGAGTCC